TTTTTCTCTCATTTAGTTTATTTCAATTTGAACACTACATGCAATGTAATGGCAGCCGTTTTTAGTCGGCTTTATTAGTATGTTTTGTTAAATAAATGGTTCGCCGGACCGACTGCACATACGTGGCCGAACCTGGCATGAACCTTACCTTATGTAAGTGTGTGTTGTACATTGTCGAATGTGACGAGTCTAGTAAAGACCTGCATACGACTGATTTCTTTCAATAACTACCTTGTTTGTTTGTTCAAGTTCTACTTCCCGTCTCACCTCCAATGCTACCATAGGTGGCGCTTTAACCACGTAGTATCGTGAATAACAATAGCGGATTTAAGAGAGAAAGTACAACTGATAAACTGGATTGAATAAGTTTGTTTTTGGCCATGACAGTAAATAATATTCCAAACCTTGCTGATAATATACGAAACACAATTTTTTGTATAAATATCCCATAAATATAAAGAATATAAATACGTTGATCCTTCGTTTGTAAATAAATGCTGCAACAGGGATTATTTTCGTAGAATTGAACTCATGATTTATTTATATGCATAACATATCTCAAGTCTTAATTAAATAACATTTGAGTAATGAAAGTAAAATCATTTATAAATAATAAAATGTACATAAAGACTATATATATATATGGTGCCGGATATGATCCCAACGAGGCTGCATAGTAAATAAAATTAATATTGCAGTCTGTTTCTTCTCGGCTTCAGAATGTTTCTTGCCTGCTTTTTAGCCGCCCAAAACATATGTACGTCTTGTATGTGTTGACATCTCGTCCAAGGTCTTCCCAATCGGCTAACCGAAGTGAACGTTGTCATGCATTCCCGACACTACGGGATCTGCTAGTTATATCAACCGTCTTTTCTACTTGCACTCGAAAAAACATAGTCGTGATGTTAAAGGTTTACTGCTGGGTTGATAGTGCCGCACTGCCTGATCCATGATGATTCACACGAGAAGCACAGGAATGAACAAAGTGTGACTAAAAACGGAAACCGCCGAAAACTGCACTGTAGCGAGTCTGGCTTAGATTGACATTCAACCTTCTGTCCTCCACTTAAATACCCCTTGTCACATGACCCCACATACCATACCCGTCTGTTAGCCATCTCGAACAGACAATAGTTACCCACTATACTGCGAAACGCGGTTAACAATATTTATTCTCACAGTCGGAGCTACGTCACGATCCCTCAAACGTTGCCAGGACCAATCACAAACAGGAAAAGACAATGAATTTTCGGATTAACACCTCTGTTTTCCCCCACGCTAACGAAAAAATCCTTTGTTTTCCACTGACTTCCTGTTCCAGTCCGTCTGTAAGAATACACAGCGTTGGTTAAGTTTTGTGGCAGAAACATCGAAAGACTGGCAAGTTTACAGTTTACAAGCAATCAAACGTCTAGTTGATAGCTGGGTAGATCTTATGGTGAGAGACACTTTATGCAGATTAATCTTGTTTCATTTTTAGTGAGTCGTTTCGCCATGCGGCAGAGTTGTGTCGATGATGTAATAACATGTTGCAACCACTTTGGGTGATCACGCATTCTCTTAGTGATCACAGCCGGACGCCCAGCAATGCCAGTTTACAAATAATAATAGTTCAGTAATTCATGAATGATTTATTCTGTACTGTGATTTTCTGAATTTGTGTGGTATTTTATGTACATGAAGGTTTTTTACTGAAAAGTATGAGTATTTTTCTTGTTGCCTGAGGGCGCTATTACTGTTGATATATTTCCCTTTCTGTGTGCTCTTATGGAGCTGTATTTGTAACATTGAGAAATGCTTGGTGAGACTTTGTGACATTCTATTTTTTGTATTGTTTGTATTTTTGCAGTCAATCATTCTATACCATCAGAGTACTATTCAGCCTGTATACATGTCATAACTGGTATGATGAATAGGAATAAAGCATAACTTAAAGGGAAACTGTT